AGACTGGCAGGTTAGGACCTTTCAGGGTGTAGGCACTGAAGGCAGACATCCTGATGCTCAAAGGGCCATTCGAATCACGATTGGACTCTGGGAATATGCAAGAGCCAGAAGGATATAGGAAGGAAATGGAAAACAGACAGACAGACAAACAAGGAACCGTTACCCAGTTCTTAACTGATTTTCCGTTTTGGGAGCCGACACACAGCATCTCTAGGAACCTTTCCTGATGTACTGAGGAGGGGTGCCCTCCATGTCCACTCTTGCCCATCTCTGCTGCTCACAATGGACCGGGGTGAGTCATGGACCTGGCTCACCACTCAGGATCTCAGACTCAAGGTGTTATCAGGAAAGAGACTTAAAGAACCGGTGCCGATTTGAGGGGATAAAAGAACAAGTATTGCTTCATTGGTGACTTGGGCATTTGCTTTACAGCAATAATGTTGAGTCTGTGTTATTAAAATCACCTCTGCAAGGCACATATGTAGGACTGAGTATTGCAGCAGGTCTGCAGAAACCAGATTTGCTGGGTTCTCGGTGAACATTCTTCCTTAAGCTCTGCAGACTGTGGGAGTATGAACCATTCTCTCTGTCTTGATATAAAAAGTCATCAGCTGCTCTTTTTGCTACTGATCATGATGGTCAGCTTTCCATCCCTGCCGCAAATACCTAAGGCGATCAATTCACAGTGCGGCTATGTGACTCAGCTGTGGAGCTTCTCGTCCATGGCTGTCTGTCTGGCACTATTGCTTTCAGGGGTCCTTTGGCAAGGCAGGCAGCGTGTCACTGTGCAGAGCAGAGCTCATCCAATCAGAGCAGAGCAGAGCTCATCCAATCAGAGCAGAGCAGAGCTCAACCCCTGAGGTCCAGAAAGGGGCCCCAACGTCTCCTTTGCAGGCAGGTGCCCGGGGAAGACTTCCCACTGTCCGAACTCCACCATCTTTCATACACGGAGCTTGGGTTCACACTGGTAAAGGGCACAAAGACCTTGTACTCACAGAAAAGAACCGAGAGAACCAGGAATGTTTCCTCAGTGCAGGAGATAAAATCAAATACCTGCATTCCTTCCAGAAAGTTTAGCATGGAGGCTGTTAACTACCTGGTGACAACTTTCCTGTCTGAAGGGACCGACCTAACTAACCCAAATTTCCCCAGAATGATTATCCCAGACTCTCCCCTCTGAGTGTGTCTCTGTAAGGACAAGACCCTCATGCCCTCCACATCACCTCCATTCTAAGTTTTTAAAGAAAAATCAGCGGCTGTGTTAGAGGTCATGGCAGAATACATTGTCTCCATGGCTTGTCTAATTGCTATAGGCAAGCATAAGAGAATTATAAGACAATTCCAACAAAATGAGATGTCCCAAGAGGAAAGTAACTTGGGGAGACATTGGGGGAAACAACAGCAGTTAACCCCGAAATGATAACTGTCATGTTTGATGGCTCTGTTGTATATTAATTGTTGTCCATGCAGAATCCACATGCCTTTTGTTAACGGGGATAAAGGACACGCCTGTGGTCGGAGACACGATACTGCTTTGCCATGCTAAGGATTGTTTAAAGGTTTATGTGGAACAGGCCCTGCCACACCCATTTTGCTCACAGCAAAAAATATTATCAGAAGTGAAGAGATGGGTGGTTGAGGACGACTGTCCCCTTTCCTTGGTCCTCTGTTAGCTATTATAATTCTCTTATGCTTGCCTGTTTTATTGAACACCTAAATTGGAATGATTATGTGAATTATTGTTGCCTAGAGACCCTTTTCCAAATTCTATTCTGTTCAAATATGCCTACAATGAACTGCCTGGCATTAGACTCCCCAAAGTCTGATCCAGGCTGACGAAGTCAATCCGCACCGGGTTTTCATTTCATCTCTTTGTATGGTTTGCTTCCCTGTCTGACACCTGCAGGGACCCCCCTCACACACCTGCAGCATGTGGACCTTTAGGGGAACATTCCAGATTTAGGTTTTAGCAGAGTCTAGTACCTAGCAATGTAGCAATATTTGCATATTAATAGTGATGGTAAATGTCTCTTTATTCTTGGGTAGAGGAGACAGAGACCCTTCAGCCAATGTGGCCTTTAAGATACCAGCCCACATTGGGTGTGGTCCTATGTATTATAAATGCAGGTGAAAAGCATGCGTGGGCCTCTTGGCTGCTCTTGGTTCCAGTTCCCAGTGCACACAGGGGACTGTGGATCGCTTCTCTTCCTGTGAGTTTATCCCCAGATAAATAAACCTTTGTTATCTTCCATTCTGGGCTACTGTGGACTCTTTTGTACGCCAACAGACACCTGCTACTACCATAGGTGTGGAAAGCTGCCGTGAGGTTATGAACCTAAACACCTCCCACTCTGTGACAAAACTATGACAGGTCTGAGCAAATAATGGGGGTTCAGATCTGGACAGCTATTTCTCCTGAGATGATTTTTGTTTTTGAAATATTTAAAAAGCACCATTGGCATCCATTTATAGATGCTTTGTGGATTTTAGTAGATACTTCTGTCATCTAATCATGAACTCATTTGTATGAGTTGTTTTATTATATTTTTCTCTATAATCCCAGATAAAATGTGTAATTTTTTTAAAAAGATAGTTCATCAAAATAGGTGCCAGACACATGGCTTAAGCCGGACAGTTTCCATGGGAAAGCGGGAAGAATTGATGGAAAACGTAAAAAGCACGAAGCATCACCAACCCCCGTGATCACATGATTATGTAAGACGATTCAGCTCAATATACATTTCCTGACACTGAGTATTGAATCCAAGGATCTCCACAGGGAAGGCAAAGTTTTCAAAACCCAAATAGTTAAGAGTCCACTATTTCTGAATTGTTTCAGATCACAGCAAATTTCCAAATCATTTAATGGTGTAAATGTAATATCTAATCTGGATCATGATCTCACGTACACTACATAGCAGCAAATACTAACTGCTCCAAAATTCATCAATGCAATATCAGCTGTCCATGCACTCCAAAACCACAGCAAATCGTGTCCCGGTATATGAACCTTAGGAACCTATTGGAAAACTTGTTATTCCATCGAATAAATCAATCTGTAAAAGATCATTTTATTACTTTCATAGAAGCTGGAAAGATATTTGAAAAAAAGTTCAACATATGTTCCATACAAACATAAAGGGGCAGGAGCTGGAACTCAGGGGCAGAGCCTCATAGAAAGTTCACGACCCTGCAGGAAAAGAAAAGGTGATGTTGCAGTGCCTGGGTACCTTGACACGCACGTCCTTCCCTACACTGCTTGTGAGAATAAAGAACAACTCAGCCGACAGAACAGATTTAGAGCGACATGAGACCGCTACATAGTGCTTAAACAGCTACGCCATATGTTTGTTGACCAGCCACCCAAAGGGCTCCGATTAAAGAACGGCCATGCTCAACAGTGGTGGCCCAAGCAGGACTCTTGCATATTGCCGGTAGGAACTGAAGATCCCACGGCCACATTGTAACAAGCAGCTAAGCATTTTCCTAAGCAGCTGCCCCAGGCATCTCACCCATTCTGCTCCCAGCTCCTGAAGAGGAGACTTGTCTAGGAATGCATCAGTACAATGGGAGCCACATGGCAGTAAGGAGGTGCAAACACTGCGTCCAGACGTGCAGATGAATCTCAATCATGCTGGCTGGAGGGGAGCCAGGAAAAAAATTGTTTAAGCTCCATTTCTACCAGATTCCACAAGAAGTCTGTGGTTGCTAGGATGGGATCAAGAAAGCTTTGGCAAACTGATTTTTTCCCCTTATTTGTTGTGTTCCTTGGGTGTTTGCTTGCATGCGCTCAAAGCTGGCAAAGTATGTACAAAACAAATCCAAAGAACCAATTAAAAATAGAATGGTGTCCAAAGACCACCAGAAGTGACTTGAAGACACCTCCTTCTGTTATACCTAGGGCAACTTGGGTGCTGCAGTAATTGAGCAAGGTGTTATGATAAACTCAGAATCCATGAAGCCATGCTGAGAGAGGATGGAATCATGACTGGAGATGTATACATTTTTTTAAAATTACGTTTCTTGTGCCTAATAAAGAATGAAAAGGGGTTAAAGTTACTGTATTGAAACCACAGCAAAAATGATTGACACATCCTAAATCAAGGGGGCAGGCTGAGCACAGATGGACAGAAAAGAGGACATTTGCACAGACTCTAAGTCTGGTCACACAAATTAATACTAGATACCAACAATACACAGAACTGGAAGCACACAGAAGGGAAAGAAAGCAGGTAACACCTTCGAGGGATGTACAAAATAAAGCCAACTAAGTGTCTCTGGAAATTATTAATATTGCCAGAATTAAAATATATAATTTATAAGGTTAACATTTAACGTGCCACGACGCATGTGAAATCGGAAGTTTCCTGAGCGGTAATCATGAGCACTCAGCTTTTAAAATACAGAAATATAGAAAAAAAATCGACCATATGAAATTTGGTACGCCTGTCTTGACAATCTTCTAAAACCGTGATTGAGATAAAATTCAGGGAGCAAGGGACGTGGCTCAACTGATATAGAGCTTGCCTAGCACACACCAATTGGACTTCCCCCCAGCAGTACAGTGTTCCAAAAGTCAGAAAGTAGAGGAAAGAGAGTCTGAAATTTTAGGTCATCGTTGGCTCCACAACTAGTTTGAGACCAGCCTGGACTACTAGATAAGACCCCCCTCCCTCCCCGACACACACACAGAGAACAAAACAACCACAAAGAAAAGAGAAAAAAGAAAAGAAAGGAAAGGAAAAGAAAACAAAATGACATCCGTCTATTCATCCATCCCATCCACCTAGGAGCCAACTAAGGCACGGCACGTAGAACAGTCTGCAGAGCTTCAATTCCAGAGAGCTACTGACTTTGGGAGCACTGCTCCCCAGGGTCGCCGCGCGGCCGCTGGGTCCTTAGCGGCGGTTGAGCAGGAGGAGGCTCGCTCACCAGAGCATCCACAGCATCCTCCCGAGCTGCCGCTCGCGCACGCGCAGTTAGCAGTCGCTGCTGGGTGGCTGCCGCCTGGATCGGTCTGGGGAGACGCCGGGGACTGCGTAGCGGCCAGTCGGACACCTGAGCTTCCGCTGCGGGACACAAACCCGCAGGACAGGTGTGTGATCTGCGGGGCCGGGGTGAGGAATCGGGTCCGGATGCCCGGGCCGCACCCCGTTCTGAGACTAGAAGGTTCAACTGGGTGCAGCCAGGTGAGGTTGGAGGTTGAGTTCAAGGATGGAGGTGCAGCGAGCTCTTGCCATAGGTGGGCTCTCCCAGCCTCCGCGACAGAGATCAGCCCTGGGTGGAGAAAGCCCCACTTCGGGTCCCTTGGGTCCCCCACCTGCTGCGCCGACGCGGGGGAAGGCCGGGTGCCCTGCTGAGCCTGGAGTCCGTTATCCCAGCGGTTGCCACTGTGGCCCCGTTCCACGGAGCCCTGGCCACGCTCCCAAGAGAGTTCTTCGCACTTTTCTAGAAAACGCAAACAAAACTAACTTGGGCTCCTCATAAGCAACCCACTTCTGTGCAATCCATCTCTGCGAAGCCAAAAGGACCCACTACTAGCAGCACACACCACCACCACCATCCGGTGAAGGTGGCCAGAGAGTCCTGGCCGCTACCTAGACACTTGGGTGGAGCCTAGCGTGGGCTCCTGGGGAGGGAGCCTAAGTGTGTTGAAGTCATTATCTAATGCCTGTTTACTATCAATCAGAGACTTTAGTGAACCTAAGTGGCGTCTGCCCCACCCAGGAGGGAGAGGCTCTACAGAGGTTTGTTCTGGGTTAAAAAAAAAAATGGCTAGGAAGCTGGGTGCTGGAGACAGAAGGTTAAAAACAGACAAATTAGGGGAAACAATGTTCAATGGGAAGACATTTTGGAACATGATTAATTTATATTGAAGCTTTTCGATGCATAAAATAGTAAATCGTGGTTTTTTGTTGTTGTTGTTGTTGTTGTTTACTTGCTTGCTTGCCCTGGAATTTTTACCTCTCTCTGGTAGCCCTCCTTTCAGGAGTTGTAATTTTGGCGGCTTTCTAGTCCTCGTCTATTGGTGTGATCATCTAGGCACGTCGACCCCGTGCCCTGTGCTTTTCTAGTCCGGTCAGGATGGTTTCTAGTGTGTGGCATGTGTTGTTGATGGATGGCCCTGATGGATGCTATTGTGTCAAGGATTCTTTCAGCGCCTGATAATTTTCCTTCTTGACTGTGTAATTAGAAAGCAGGACCCATCAGCTTTGATAGGACTTCAGCTCGGGTCACTCAAGCCTCTCACTTCACAGGTGAGAAGAGGCCCAGAGTGATTGCCCAGGTCCATTGCCCTCTGGATGGCAATGCTAGCCACTGGCCAGCCACTGCGAAGGCAGCAAGGTCAGGAAGCGGCTACTGTCATTTTGTAGTGTGCTTCTGAAGCCACCTGAGTCAGGTTTCCACCCTCACTCCCCAGGTACACCAACCATGCCTGATACCTCAGCCAGCTAAGGACCTCAACATAGGCAAAAGTCCCCAGTTATGAGAAGAGCCATTTATAGGAGTGTAAGTGTATTAAAAGGGAAGTTCTGGGCTGGAGAGATGGCTCAGTGGTTAAGAACACACACTGCTCTTGCGGAAGCCCTGGAATCAGTTCCCAGCACCCATGTCAGATACTCACAACCTGTATCTCCAGTTCCAGGGCATCGACGCCCTTTTCTGACCTCCTCTGATACCCACACATATGTTTATATAACAACACAGCAGAAGCACATGTATACAAAATTAAAGTTTTAAAAAATATGTAGGCGAATACTCAGAATGAAGACTCAGTCTTGGAAGAAGCGATCTGTGCTAAGAGCTACTGACAGTGGTTTAAGCAGGGTCCAGGTTAAGAATTGTTGCTAGGAAACGCCAGGCTTGCAAGAAGGCAGGGGCTGGTTCTGAAGGTTAGCTGGTTCTGAGAGTGGAAAGGACACAGTGACAGCTAGGAATATCTGTCAGGGAGGTCATGTCCCTATCCATGGCTGAGGCACGGAAATGTGTTCTTTCATTCCACAAACGCCCTCCTAATGAGATTGGTTACCAGAGACCCCGGGGACTCATGGCGCTGTACTCTGTCAGCTCTGCTTTGCTTTCTGGTGGACTCCTTCCCAGCCTAAGTCCATACACATAGGACCGCTTTGGCGACTAGAGGTGATGTTACAGAAAAGGGAAATAATCCCAGCACTCGGGAGGCAGAGGCAGGCAGATATCTCTGATTTTGAGGCCAGCTTGGTCTACACATTAAGTTCTAGGACAGCAAGGACTAAACAGAGAGATCCTGTCTCAAAAATCAAAACTAAAAATTACATTTATTTGTGGGTTGGGTGGTCGAACACTTGGCACGTGTGTGGCGGTCAGAGGCCAGCTTTGGGAAATTAGTGTGGGTCCTCTCTGGTGTGGGTCCTGGGGATTGACCTAGGTTCTCGGGCCATCTTGATGGGCACAGTAAGCCTATTTCATCTCAGAGGAAAGAGCAAGTTCAAATTAAAGTAGGTGTCGAGTCATCTTTGAGAGTGAATAACTCCTCGGAACTGAACAGCGATCTCTGAAGTGTAGAGTTCGGGAATTCTCAGATAGCTTTCACAGGAAGAAGCAAAAAGTACATACAGGACGACAGCAGAGCGTGGTGGTAAAGGCCTGCAGTCCCGGTGCTGCGGAGGCAGAGACAGCCCTGGATCCCGGGACACAGGCATTGTGGGAAATACTGTGGAAGCATCTCAGAAATTAAAAACGGAATTGTCATATGCTCAAGCGATCAGGCATATGTCCCCTTTATTAATTCTCTTGTTGCTGAGACATAATACTAAATAAATGCAACTTAAGGAGAGAAGGCTTTTTCTGGCTTACAGTCTGCAGGGCCACAGTCTGTGTTGCTGAGAAGGCGTGGCGGCCAGAGAGGAGCCTGCAGTCAGGAAGCAGAGGGAGATGAACACTGGTGCTCAGCTCACGTTCGGGGCCCAGCCCATTCACTAAGAATGGGTCTTCATACCTCAATCAACACATGCCAGAAATCCCCGTGAGCAGGCCTGCCCAGAAGCTCTCCTCTGTGTGAGTCTAGGTTCTATTAAGTGGACAATACTACCATCCAGAAAGTTCTAAAGTCATATTGATACTCTAAAAAAAAAAATTTACATCTATTTATTTACCCGTGTGTGTTTTGTCTCTCCATAAAGATGGCAGTATCTGGATACAGAAAGCACCTATTAAGGTAGATTTCTGTTTAGTGGTTTTGAAAATGTGCATTTTCAAAGTATACATTCAACCTTTAGGAGAAATCAAGCTTATCTGGTCCAGATATTAAAGTTTTGATCTGAAAAGGGGTTGTGTCAGTTGAACTAGGTAGGTAGAATAATGCTTTCTGTGATGTTTTATAAACTGTTTTAATGATCTATAATTTATATACTATCAAGTTCAGCTTCTTACTTTATGTAATTTTATTTAGAGTTGGGTAATCATTACCAAATTTTACTATTGGCTATTTCATCAGTGCCCTTTAGCTGCTCCCAAGCCGTGTCACCTGATCTAGCTGGTGTCTCCTCTGTTCTCCAGTTCTCGTTTTCTCATTTCCCTAACATGAAATGGTACAACAGTTTCCCTAGCTGGCTTTTCCCCAGGTATAATAGTTTTGCATTTGTGCATTGTATGTGTGTTTTGTCTCTTTCTGTTGCTGGTTGCTTTTCCATGAGACGAGTGCTTCAGCTTACGTCTGTACACTCATGACTTGTTGGGCATTTGAATAGCTCTACATCTGAGCTGATTTCATGGCTTGTATCTGAGTATCTGTGAGGATATAAGTTTTATTTTGGCTATCCTTGAGTGGAATCCCTGGGTCGTGTTGAAACTTGCCATATTATTTCCCACCTCTGTTGGTATGGTACCTTGACACACTTCAACAGTGTGTGAGGATTCCAGTTTCTCCCATTTATGTGGTTTCAATGGTCAATAGTAGCAACTCTGGTGACTGTGGTACTCTCCCTGTCTGCTCCATCTTTCTTAAGTGGTCCCTATATGTCCATAGCTGTCTATTGTCTGAACACTTTTAGAGTTCTAAGGCTCTACTCTACATGAAAATGTCCCCATGTTGATGTTAGCTTTGAGGAATGAGTAGCATACATGATGATGATGTGTTATTGTATGACCGCTTTTGAATCAATGACTCTTAACTGTCTCAGTGCCAACAGACTTTCGAGAATTAGCATATGCTAATGAGAGCGGGCCGTTCTGTTAAGAGGACAGCAGGTTGTGTTTGGCATTTTTTCCTAGCAGAAGGGACAGCAGTTATGCAGTGTCTGAAGAGACCTGTGGTCAGATAATCATGTGATGACCATGGAATTATAGAAAGAGCGAGGTTCCTGGCAAACAACTTGCTACAGCATGGAATTTGATTTTTGGCAAACACTCCTATGTTAAATGTAAAAATCCCTTAGTTTTTGGTGTTTAGATGTAAGCAGACTCCAGCTTTGTAATTATCAGATGTCTAATTTTGCATATACTTAAGCTACATTATTTGAAATAATATAAGTGAAAATTTAGGCATCATTATAGCTTTTTTCTTTTCAATGAATCAACATATTATTTGCATTTGATAGACACTGTTGCAAAATTTTTATTTTTATACCATTCACTTTTTGATTTTGGAAGAAAATTAGAACTGAAAATCTGAAGTTATTTTACTTGTCCAAGGCTTAATTTAAATAATGTTGCTGGCAATGAAAGCATCTCCAGAATAAAGGAGAAATTGATTCTTCCTGTGGTTCTTAACACACGGCATCCATGCCTGACTTTTCACAGGTAGTCGCTATGCATCTCCAAGGTGTTGGGCTGTGCTTGAGTCTTCTGGCCATCGCTGTCAATGCAGAATTCGTGAGTGACGGTGCTGAGGTGGAAGACGCCAGTGAGAATTCAGAAGAGAGTAGTATTAAAGATGATGAACCTTCCTCAGGGGTAAGACGGTTGAGACGTGAGCTGTAACCTCTTTTTCCCGTGGTCATAGGAGTGACAGATCTCTCTAGACACATCCCCTTTCTCCTGACGGGGTCAGGCTTCTCAGGGCGTAGGAAAATGTTGCTTTTTCCATCAGTGTCCTTCAAGTGCCGACAGCAAAAATTGTTTGTGACACCGGCCCGAGTTGTGCTCAGCGAGTCTGGGAGGTTTTTGCTGGTTAAAGAGGACCGAGTTCTTTAGCAAAGACAAAGGCCTTTAGTTCTAGTTCTAACGATATCAGACCTTTCCAGAAAAAAATGGAAGGTGCCATAACTTGTGGTTTTTCAATAAGTAAAGAAGTGGCTTCCATTTCTCTGTGGGTAGAAGGCACCACACAAGGAGGTCGGATTTTAAAGGCAGAAGTGACAAGGTGGCTTCAGTGGGGCTGAGCCAGGGCCCTGCCTCAGCTGTCAAGGTGTGTGTCCTGAGGTGGTGACCGGCAGGCGCCTTGGGACTTTACAGAGGTTTTGATTCATCTACTTGAACCATCTGGAGCCTCCACACTGAGTGTATTCACATGGAATCCTGCAATGACCAGAAGCCACTCTCCTTCCATGCTAGCCTCTATTTGAAGGGCCCAGGTCATAAATAGGAAGTTCTCACAGATTCCATTGCTTCATCTCATCTTCAGTGAGCTTTTAATACGGAAATAATATTTGTTTGTCGTGAATATTTTGTAGCCCGTTTAAATTTCAACCTCTGCAAAGGTATTTCTTTTGAAACCTAGTCCTATAATCTACATAGTAATGCTTAATAAACCAACATCTGGAGCAAGTACCCTGTTAACGGGGGTCTTTAAAAGTGGAATCTTTAGAACATGGACACGTGTGCTAATCCCTCATAAGTGTATTTGGTAAGATGACAAGATGTGGGGAAAAACACCCAACATTATATTCCCAGACACGAGTTGTACAAAGTGGCAGGTGTCGTTATGACATTACTAAGACAAGAGCTTTGCAACAAGAGCCCGTGCCACCTGGAGTCTCTACTGTCATTGTGCACCGTGTACTAGGTTCTGAACTGTCAGGATGACTTCAGATATTTGCAAAAATGAATAACTTTGGCTTTTAAAAATCTCTTTTCTAGACTATTAAATATAAAACACCTCTACCTATAGGAGAAGTCTACTTTACGGAAACGTTCGACAGTGGGAGGCTGGCTGGGTGAGTACTCCTGCAAGAGAGCATCTACTTCCACTCGACCGGTTCCCTGAAGCTGTTGGTCTCTGAGAATGGCTCTCCTGTGTCTTGGTAGAATAATTTTAAGCTATGTATTTATACAAAGAGAGACGCAAATCCGCAATGCAAAGAAAACCCACAGCATTTCCTTGTTCTCTAGGGAGACATTAACAGTGGCTGTTCCTGAGCTTCTGTTGCAGCCACAGCGGAGGTGTGCCTATCTGTGCTGGTTAACACCACTGATTAGAACGCTCCAGAGCCTCTGCTAGTTGTTAGCTATGTGCTCCACCCCATTTCCCACTCCGAGACTGAGCTCACTCCCACACGGATATGGAAGAGCAGACTGGGAGTATGCACAAACTAGATTAACTGGCTAACTTCTTGACACTAATTCATTTTGAATAAAAACTGATTATGTTGGCTAATATCTTGAATTTTTACATTCATTTTATCTATAAATTGCAAATCTTATTTTAATGGCAAATATCTGTCTTCATCTTTACTTACAGGTGGGTCTTATCAAAAGCAAAGAAGGATGAAAAGGATTCAGAAATTTCCATATACGATGGTAAAATACTTATTTAAATATTAGATAACAATAGCCCATGTTCACTAGCTTTTGAGATTATATTTTTGTTAAATTATGCTGGTCACAAGGGCCACCTGGCCCTCACAATGCAATGCTCGATTTTTCACGCTGTTCCTCTTCAGTGTTGCAGGGATTGCCTGATTGAACCAGTTTCTGACTCTTAAATCTAGCTGGACTTTGACCACAGGGGGTTAGCTTGCACGGTGCTGTTCTGGATGTTTGACCTCAAGCCTGGGCACTCATAGATCAAGAGCAGAGGTGGATTATGACCTCTGCAGCCCTCAGCTTCAGCCTTGCCCATCATCCACAGGGTCCCTGGTGGGGCTGTCTGCAGGCTCAGCTGTGGAAGTGTCTTTCTTCCTGAAAAAGGCTACTTGGAGAATGACAGGACTGTCTGCCTTCTGGTCTAGAAGCAGCCTTCTCAAGCATCCTGTGTCCTGTGCTGCAGGGGACCAGGATGGGGGTGTCACACAAGCATACGGCTAGAGCTCAGACTCAGCACGCGCCACAGACCTCCGTTGTCAGTTTCCTTCTCACAGCTTCCGTTGTGTAAGATGTAGACTGTGCCTGCCTTCATCTATACAAACTGTCCTCCATCCCAGCCACCACATGTGTGTACACGCCACATGGACCATGCGAAGGCCAATCTAAAGCCGTTTATAGAACCGCTCCCCTTAAAGAAACGATGAGTCTAGGGAATACACTGCTAAAAATAATCCAGTAAGCCCGGCATCACTAAAACCCAGAATGTTTGATTTAAGCAACTGTGTTTAAGCACTTTACAGTCTTTTTTTTTTTTTTTTAAAGAAAAACCAAGCCAAATGTTCACTCTGTAAAAGCATAAGATGGGGTGTGCTTTAGGGAGACCTGCCAGCTTTTATTTTTAAGATGGGTCTTACTATGTCCCCCAGGTTGCCCTCAGCCATGCGCTCCCCTGCCAGAGTGTTGCTCTCGAAAATCTTGAAGATTTCTTTTTAAATCCCAAAAGTCCATACAAAACGACAGACTAAACCTCAAGCTGCTTTGATCATAAGAGTCGTGGCAGTTGCATTGTTTTTAGAAAGAAAAAAGCAGTCTCGAGCATTAGTGATTTAATTAGTGTCCATAAAAATCACTGTGAGTTGAAACATCATAGCAAAATCACCATCTTTTGCTGAGTTGAGCTTAGTTGGAACAAACATGCATAATTTTCAAACATCTAATTTTGAAATTAAGATAAGTTGATTTTCCCCCTATTTTAAAAGAGAACAGAGTGGTGTCCAGCACAGAACTCTGGGACTCCAGTCAGCGGGGCTGCATAGCCCCGTGGTCTCAAGGCAGGAACACTCAGATCCGGAAGGCTGAACTCCCGGGCCAGAGCCCCAGCTGGGCTTTGTTACTGGCTGGCTTAGTGCTTCTCTGGGGTGCTGCTGCTTTCTGGCCCAAAGCTCTCTCGGTCACGTGACTTAACCGGGGCGGGGTTTGTCTGGTGAGATAGTTTTCCAGCGCGGTTGAAGTACCTGCAGCAGCTGCCATGAAGATGCTTGAAGTGTTGCCTGCGTTTCCTAGTCGGTTAGCTCCACCCTGGGGCAGACTGCTCAGCATGTCTCATAGGAGTTTTTAAATAGCTCATCTTATTTTTGTGTGGGTTTTTTTTTTTCATCTTATTTTAAGTGTCCTACAAGGCAAACTTTGCTCTTGGTCAAAAGGGTGCGCTTGGACAGGAAGGGCACTTGCTTTTATACACTGTTTTTTAAAGTCAGCATTCACAGACCTTATGAGACAAACTGTATTTTATCATTTGTTTTACTGAAAGTACGTCAAGAAAACCTAATTGCATCCATTTTAGAAGTGTACCTGCCGTGTTATTTATTAGTCTTCCGAGTTGAGGCTAACGAAATGAAACCAGTTTCTGAACACTGGCAAGGAAAAGAAAAGGGGAAGGGTGGGAAGTAGAGGAGAGAGAGAGAAAGGGTGGGGAGATGGAGATGGGGTGGGGGAGTGAGAGGTGGGGGTAAGGGAAAGATGAAAAGGGAAATGAGGAGGAAGGGGAGGGGGAAAAGAAGGGAACTACAAACCGCAGATATTATTTCCTGATGCATTATTTGGTTTTATTTTTCCGTAGTCAGTTTTCATGGGAAAGAGCACTGCTCAGGACTGCTGGGAGGCCATCTTCTGTGCGTCTTCTGTTTTCGCTCACTTACTTCACTTTCTCCTTTAGGAAGATGGGAAATAGAGGAGCTGAAGGAAGACCAGGTGCCCGGCGACAGAGGGCTGGTCCTGAAGTCTAAGGCCAAGCACCATGCAATAGCTGCCGTCCTCAATAAACCCTTTGTTTTCTCTGATAGACCTTTGATAGTTCAGTAAGTTTTAAGACTTTTTAATTGGTATTAGTTTGGTATAATTCGGCATCTGAATGTATGTCAGGTTTTGCTGCTATGTACAACAAAAAAAAAAATCCACATTTCCCTTTCCAGGTCCGTATACAAATGCACACACCCATAACAACACCCTGGTCTCTGGGGGACAAACGGCTTAGTGATAAACTATACATCGCGTGTCCGGTACACACAATTCTGTCACCACGAAGGATGGTGAAGTCACACCTTTATCTTAGTTTTTCTAGTTCCTTGCTGATAGGGTAGGCCTAGGACATTCAGAACAGAACATAAGCACGGCCAGCTTACGACCTGTTCGTGCCTAGCCACTCAAGGCTGCAGACTGATTCTAGGAGGAAACCCTGTCTGCACGTAGGTGTCTGCCCACAAAGCCCCACTTGGCCAGAGACCTCCTCTTCCCCTACACTGCCATCAACCAGGTGATTTGCAGGTGCACTGCCCCAGGTCGGCTGTAAATCCCCAACCTTCTCTCTCCTGCAGTGCTGTAAAGCCAAAATGAAGCTCTGAAAACTTCCCTATTCAGGTCACTGGCGAGCCACATTGTGCCTGAAACTGCTCCAGGTCAATGTGTCCTACGGAAATAGCAGTGGTGCCTGCCGGGCCTCCAGACCCTCAGTTCTCTGCCCATGCAGTGAGCAGCCTTCCTTTCTGGGATTAAGCTCTAGTCTAGATGAACCCGTTTCTGTGGCCATTCCATACGACGTAAAGACAAGGAGGGCTTCCCTGCTAACTGAACCAACTAAAAGAACATTACAAATACTTAGTGGGACCAGGGTCCACATCGGTGTTGTTCGCTACTAATTAGGGTTTGGTCTGATTTTGGCTTTGCTGGTAATTTCTTTCTTTTACTTTTTTCCCTCTCTGTGGTGTGTGTGGAGGTGGCAGGGGCAGGGGGGAGGGGGCAGGGGGCAGGGGCGTTGAGTGCAATTGTAAGTATGTGTATGCGTATGCCTGTGGAGCCTGAGGTTGATGCTGGCATCGTCCTTGATGCAATTTCACCTTATTCTCTGAGACAGAATCTCTCGATCTACAACATGTCTCCCTAGCCAGCCTGCCCTGTGAATCCCCTGCCTTCACATTCTGAGGCTGGCCACCATGTTTATTAAGTATTTTACATGAGTTCTGGGAATCTGAACTCTGGTCCTTAAGCACTTCAACTACTGAGCCATCTGCCCACCCTTCCTTGAGGCTTTAAAGCAGCCTTACTCTCAGTCTCTTAAAAGTTAGGAAGTTAGGTGTGAGGAGCATCACTTTATCAATGCACTGTTCATTTGGGATGTGCAGAAAACAAATACAAAATTCAAGTTGTCAGGGATAAATGGAATGTTTTCTGTATGAGTCACTGATGAGAAAGTGTTGTCTGCCAGATAAAACGCAAACAGAAAAATACATCTAAAAATTTCCAAAACTGTGAAATGATTGTTTTGAAAATTTAAAAAGAATCAAGAATCAAAAAGTAGTCAGATGGGCCGAAATATTTGATGTTAAATGCTTTAATTGGCACTTGATTTTTGCTGAACTTTATGATGCCTTTTGCAGTTTGTGTACACGTCAATACATGCCAAAACATGTTGATACATGTCAATACATGTCAGTACATATCGAACATGTATGTGTGGAGCACGCCTAATCTGAGATCTGAAATGCTTTGACTGCTACAATCACTGTCTAGTGGAAATTCACCTTTCTGTTTCTTTAAACGCTTATCACATCTTTGTGTCTTGACTTTCCTTCTGGGTCTTTCTGAAAGAAGATTTCTATAGTTGCCTGCCTTTGTGGAGTGTACTGTAATTCCCCCTCCTCCTCCTGAGTGTTCTGCAGTCCCCCTCCTCCCCCTCCTCCTCCTGAGTGTTCTGCAGACCCCCTCCTCCTCCTCTGAGTGTGTTTGAGTCCCTGATCTTCATCTTCCCTCTTTCCTTCCTCGACTCCTTTTCACCTCTATAAAATCAATATTTTACTTCCGAAAGGAGCGAGACCATGTGTTATATATCTTCAGGTTTTTTGCCGGGATTATTTTACTCAATGTGATGTCCCATGGTCCCAGCCGTGTCCCTGTGAATAAAAGTTTAATCTTTTTAAGTGGCTGAGCAGTACTCTGTTGAGCATACGGACCACCTCCTCCTTATCCAAACATCCGTGGTCACCTCAGTTAATTCTGCATGGTGGCCATAGAGAATATGGTGCTGAGTGAAGGCTGGGCGTGCAGGCATCTCACACACTGATTACAGTCCTGGGAGTGTTGACAGATGGCTCCAGTGCAGTTCTGGTTTCTATTTGAGAAATCTAGTGCCATTTCTCATAGTGGCTGTATTAATATATCATTCTACCACCAATATGTAAAATTGCCGTTTGACATCGTAAGCAGTTTTGTTTATTTGTGTGTTTTTTGTTTGTTTGGGTTTTTTGTTGTTGCTGGTTGGGTTTTTGTTTTTGCTTTCATTAAAGTCTTTCCACCTGGGGTAAGGTTTTACTGTTTTCCTGATTTGTGACCACATGTGCCTTTACTATACTGCTGTTCATGTGTTTCTTCTTTCGAGAAATATCTGTGTAAGCATGTTGCACTTTGTGTTTTCTGAGACAGGGTTTCTCTGTGTAGCCCTGGCTGACCTAGAACACACTCTGTAGACCAGACTGGCCTCGAACTCAGAGATCCACCTGCCTCGGAGTCCCGAGTGCTGGGATTAAAATTGTGCGTATATTTTTAATAGGACTTTTGAGATTTTTTTCTTTTTGCTCCAGAATGTTTCATATAGCCCAAACATTAATTGATTGATAATTATTTCTAATTTGTGTGACTTGTTTTGTACTAGCATGTGGTGTCTCCTGGAGGAAGCCCTACATTATTCTTTTAAAGCGGGTGTGTGTGGAGACAAACACAGGACAGACAAAACACGCACGAAAGGAGGAGACACAGACACGCGGCTCCCACGTGGGTGCGCTTTAATGGGGGAGGGGTAACACGATGAGGGACAGGTGTGCAAGACACGAGAGAATAGGGCACGAGAGAGCGAGGCCTCGTGGAAGCTCGCTTTTTAACGAGAACGCAAGGGTGTCTGGGAAAAATGTCCTGCACCTGCGCGCGCCTGCGTGCGCAGGTGTCCGTAATCCAGAAGGAATCTGGGAGCTGTAGTTTCCAAAAGGAACAACGCCCTGGGTCCTACTAGGTAGAATGAGTTTCTGCAGCCGTTGGGGACGCACTCTGTAACTGTTGGTTGGTCTGGAATAGTTTAAATCCAGTGACTGTTTGCTTACATGATCTGTTCATTGTTAAATTGGGGGGTGTGGGAGTGTCCCCGCAATTACTGGTTCTCCCTGTAATCTAGTTGTGTTTTCTGTACACACGTGGTGTTGAAGTCTCCGGTTCACACCCGCACTGCTTGGGATTCCATCCCCTCTAACTGACCCCTTTGTCGGTACAGTGATTGTCTCCTTCCCCAGTCCCTCCTGCCTGGTGTGAGCAGATTGTCCTCTTCCCGCCAAATGGCAAATGTTTGTGTGTTCTACCCCTGTGAACCTCTTCATGTGTGAAAAATGGTTGGCTCCTCTTCTTGTGTTTTGGGGGTTTTGATGTTGTTTGTTTGTTTACCTGTTTAGTTCACTTTTCTTAAATTTACTCAGCAAGTCTAACATTTTGTGAGGAGTTTAAATTGTTGCTATTCAAGGCTATTGTTACCAGGGGTTCTCTAATTTTGTCAATACATTTTTGTTTTGTAATTTTTTTGTTGTTTGACTTCTCTCTTACTGTTCATTTCTGATTATTTAAATGTGTGTGTGAGTGAGTGTGTGTGTGTGTGTGTGTGTGTGTGTGTGTGGTCTGAGTTTTATGTTTTAATGTGCTTCTCTGTTGGTCACTATCGTCCTTTTGCCTCCAAAGTAGGATTCCCTTCTGAATTTCTTGTAAGGCTTGGTCTGTTGGTGCTGAATTGACAGAGGTTTTGTTTGCCCTAGGAAGTGATTCTTTTCCCTTTGTTTTGAAAGGCCAGCTCTGCTGGCTAAGGTGTTCTTGGTTGCATCTTTAGCTTTTGGTTTTGTAACCTCCGTGAGTTCTCCATCTCGTTTGCTTTCGGGGCCTGTGCGGTTTTCCCTACAGCATCTGCTTCCCAGCGTGCACAGTGCCTTTCTCTCATGGTTTCATGAAATTCCTCTTGAGATGTTTCAGACTTGAAGAATCATGTGTTTCAGTTTTCTCCAGGTGGATTTCCCTGGAGTCCTCGAGCACCCTAGAATTCAGGTCGGCTGCCTCCACACAGCGGCTTTTGCAGTAAACTGCATCTTCCTGGTAAGGAATCCTAGATGCTGGTTGGGTAGGCCACGCTGGCTTTAGTTCCACGTGGGCACAGTAGTGTGGTGTCATGGAGCATCTTTAGCTATAAAACCGGTGGTTGCAGGTGTCTCCGTGACTTAGGTGGCTGGGGTTTGGAGGTCACTGTCAGCGTGTTGCAGCTCGTTCAGATGGAGCAAGTTCTGCACTGCGTGCAGCTGCAGGTAGCTTCCTCAGCTTTGGTGTTTCGTTTGTTTATTTTGTTTTAGTGGGTGTGGAGATGCTCCAGATGACCCAGGCATGGTGTGTCACTCTCAGCAGTAGGGACAGGGAACACATTGATTTCTGGGGCCATAGCACGGGCCATGTTGGACAGCTGAAGGTCATGCAGTCTCAGTCTGGAGGGTCTGGGAGGATACAGTGGATGCTCTTGGTTATGGTGGCAGATGCCCACCAGTGTCCAGGCTTGACCGCTGCTTCCTTGGCACAGGACCTTGGTGGACTGAGGCGGGTGCTCGAAGTGGACGCGGATGTCCAGAGCCTTCCAGGGTCTGCGGGTTGATTTGCTTCAGCCTCTTTTTTGGAACCTTGGTAGGCCAATCTGTTTAAGGCAGGATTTTTTTTTTTCTGTTTTCCAGGATGAGGGTGGATGGGTGTAGAACTGGAATTGCTCAGCTGCTTTGTGGGACCACAGGTGGGCAAGTTCTAGAATGGAGCCATTCATCGGGAGTCTGGGCGGGGCCTAGCACTGTATGAGTTGGGCACTTTTTTTTAAAAAGGGTAATTCAGTGGTGTGGGTTTCTTGCCAGTTACCTACACTGAGGTGGGGTTGTGAAGGCTGCATGTGGGCTTCTTCTGTAGCAAATAGGTCAGTGCCCACAGCATTAGCTGGCATTCTTGGAAGCCTCCCACTGGCCAGTTCTCCACTTCCTGAAGCCTCTTTGGATTTAAAGTTGGTCTAGGCTGGAGGGATGGGATGCTGGATGCTGTCTGCTTCTACCCTTCCTGGGGCTGTCTCGGCTCTCCGTTTTATATCTCTATTGTGTCTCTAGTATGCTCTACACTCTGCCTCAAAAACGCCAATAAATTAGCAATTTTTCTGTTTTTGATTTGTTTGTTTTAAATTTCTCTCAGTCCTCAAAGCACTTAGAACTATCTATTGATCTGAAATTTGAAACAGTTTGATTGACCAAGTGTGACCCAAAGTGCTTTGGATTTTAGAGCATTTCAGATTTCAGACAGGGATACCCAGCAGGTAAAGTTCATTTTTTTTTTTTTACTGTTTTTCACTTTGACAACTCCTTCATGGATTTTCTTTACATGATTTGTTCATTTATCAGACACCTAAGCATATGCCTTATTATTTTAGCAATATTATTTCTTTAAAAACAACCTAAAATAGATTTGGCTGAGACTTCTAGGGTGTTGTAAATCTAGGAGAGACTTAGGTGTTTAGCTGTCACACTGACAGCGGAAGTTTCACTTTTCTCGTGGCTATTTTGGTGTGAAATACCCCCAAGTTATTGAGTGAAAATCTAATTCAATAAATTCAAAAGCATGGTTTAGGTACAGTTGAATTAAAATAAAAGTTAGCACTGGGTTCCGAATCTCCAATGTTGTCATCAGTTTCTGAGAAACCTGTTGTAGCTAAGAGCACACAGAACATGGAGGCTGGGGATTGGCTCAGTCATACAGTACTTACGCAGCTTGAAGGAGGCCCTGGGTTTGATACCCAGTTCCATCAAGAAGGAGAATATAGGGAGAACTTTCCTCATCAGAATTTGGGGTTTCCTGTTGCAGCTTAGTTAAAACTCTCTTATCTTCCCCCTAATACTTTGACTGGGAAAATTATGTAAATGGGGTGGTTGGTTTTCCTCTGGTTGGTTGTAATTATTTTTAATACTTTCCTATTTTGACATCATGACTTGAAGCATTAGGTGAGCATGTCTGCTCACTTCCTATAAGTTGTAGCTAGTCTTTGTATGGATGAGTTTGGCAGTAATGTGAAGTATTCTGCTTAAGGAATTGAGAGTAATTCGTTATACTTTAAAGAAAAACGAGTAACTGTTATTTATCAGCAGTGTGGTTCTTTTTCCCTCCATTTAGATATGAAGTAAATTTTCAAGATGGTATTGATTGTGGAGGTGCATACATCAAACTGCTAGCAGACACTGATGATTTGATTCTGGTATGACATTTTAATATCTAAGAACACCTTGTTAAAGTCAGTAAGTATTCTAAGGAGCGGGCGACAACAACCGGAAAGTTCGTTTTCAATTGAAAGTAATAACTATGTCTTTTTCCAATGTGAGTCTACGTGGTCTTTACAGTTTGCCCTCAGGATTCATAACGCGGCTGCTTTACTTGATGAAGATATAAGATATAACATAAATAACTCTGCCCGTCTGTGAATAGAAGTGGCAGGTGCTTAGAGATGCTGATGAGGGGTCAAATTGGAGTTCTTCCCAAGTTTGCTCAGAAGTGGCCTAAAGCCCACATTAAAAGATGGGCTGTTTCAAATACACAGAAAAGACTAAAGTAGCCTTCGGGTTCTGCAAAAGAAACGGTCACGGTAGGAGTGCCATCTGGCTGTAGCAGAAGTGAGGTGACTTCAGGTAGTGTTGAGATGGCTTGGCTGTGGGCGAGCTGCACAGTGTGTCAGAACTTTAGCTTCGGGACAAAAGAGAGGCCATTTGTAGGACGTATTAGTGGAGCTCTCATTTTAGGTCTTGTAGGTCAGGGTCTTAGTGAAAGGGTGGCAAAAACATCATTGGCTCGAATTCCTTTAAGGACTTTATTGGACTCAGGGAGTCCTCAGAGAGCCCTTCAAAGGTGGGGACTGTCATCTCCGCATTTGAGGTGTGATGGTGTGGGGGTCCAGAGGGCTCAGAAGCTCACTCAGCCACACACATTTGGTCGCATGGCAGTGGAGGCATTGGAGCTGCAGTATCTGAGTGCAGAATAACAGGCCAGAGGAATAGGCCCCACAGGGAATGAAATCCGAAGTTCCTCTCTACATTTGAGCACGTTTTTCTAAGAGTTATTTCTGTTATCTTCCTGGATAATGGTAATGAATAATTACTTTAGCCTAGGGTTGTAAATGTGCTGGATTTCCTAGGAACTGTTCGTGTGTATTTGCATAAAGTGGTGAAGGAAGCTTTCTTGTGCTGCTAAGGCACCAGCTTCCCTGCACCTTCAAGAAGGAAGTAGCGCTTGCTTCTCTAAGCGTTACTTTGACACCAAAGCTCTCACTTTGCCCTGTCTTTATTGTCATTTGGGTTAGTTCTTCACTAAGCTGGCACTTAAATGTACTTTGTAAACTCCACCATTGGAGAGAATAGAATCACTGACCACGCTGTGACTCTGGACTAATCTGGACCATCATCTCTTTGAAGGAAGACTTTTATGATAAAACGTCCTATACCATCATGTTTGGACCAGATAAATGCGGAGAAGATTATAAGCTGCATTTTATCTTCAGACACAAACATCCCAAAACTGGAGCTTTTGAAGAGAAGCATGCCAAACCTCCAGATGTCGATCTGAGAGAGTTCTTTACAGACAGGAAGACTCACCTCTATACTCTTGGTATGCCGTCCATTCATTCATTCACTCAAAGCATTCAGTAACCACAGACTTGCTGACAGCCTGTGCTTTCAGGAGAAACAAATGTCGCTACCTTTAAGAAGTTTATCTTTGGGAGAGGATGAGCTGTGTTAAATAACAACATGGGGAGAAAATAAATAATGTGCCCAATAGGGGCCGGGGGAGTTCAGAAGGGATGGAAGTCACAGGTTGGGGCAACTTTGCTGACCCTGTCTGCTGCATGGGGTTTATGTAGGGAAATGTAGGTTTGTAGGAAAATCCATTTTTAGGGGTGATATGTACTGGATCCAGAACTTTCAAATGGTTCTAAAACAGTTTGAGTTCTTTGTAATATACTTGCAACCTCTTAAGTTCCGGGGGTTTGTTTTAATAAGAGGAAGATCGGATTACATTGTCTAACTGTAACAGGGACACTTTGTGGCCATGAGTCCCCACCAGGGTCAGCTAGTTTTTGAGGAGTTTATCTGTGGAAACTATGGAAATTTCATTTTTTTAAAAAAATGAGTTTAAGGGGGCTGGAGAGATGGCTCAGAAGTTAAGAGCCCTGGTTGCTCTCCCAGAGGTCCTGAGTTCAATTCCCAGCAACCACATGGTGGCTCACAACCATCTGTACTGAGATCTGGCGCCCTCCTCTGGTGTGCGGGCATACATGAAGGCAGAACGTTATATACATAATAAATAAATAAATCTTTTTTAAAAATGAGTTTAAAACAGATTATATCTTTATGTTTGAAACTATTGTAGCTAGTTTCAGCGAGTTTTGATGCAATATACTGGGTTTTCCTAGTTAAGAGGAAATTGTATCCATAAAGTTCAGATCATTTTATTAGAAGATTGTCTTTGCAGTGTCTGTCTGCATACTAACTACAAGTGTTAAAATTGTTCCTTAGTGTTGAATCCAGATGATACATTTGAAATATTCATTGATCAGAAAGTTGTGAACCAAGGGAGCTTGTTGGAGGATGTGGCCCCACCTATCAATCCCCCCAGAGAAATTGATGATCCCAATGACACGAAGCCAGACGAGTGGGATGACAGAGCCAGGATCCCTGACCCCAGTGCAGTGAAGCCAGAGGACTGGTAAGCCAGGGCTCCCTGCTGCAGGCTGCCGAGCTCAGCTGGTCAGGGTGGATCCGCGACAATACTCTTTGCTTTGATGATTTCGTATGAAATAATTTTCAGAAATGGATGTTGCACTTTCCTATCTTTTTTAACTTAAAATTTTCTTTAATATTTTTACTTTTTTGCCTTTTCTCATCATGTGTTCATTTTTATGATATTAGTTCTGTGGGAAGACCCATGAGTTTGAAACATCAAGCCTTTCATTTTAATTCCTGGCTTGTTCTTCGTATGTGTGTGGCATTTTCTATAAGTGCCCTATAGAGTATTGGGGTTTTTGTTTATTTGGTTGGTTGGTTGGTTGGTTGGTTGGTTGGTTGGTTTTGTTTGTGGTTGTGGTTGTCTAGTAACAACTTGGCTTTAGGTTGCCGTTCTGTCAGCATCTTAGAAGGCTTCTGTGGGACTCACCCCATCATCATGCTGAAGCTTCACCCCTCTTTACCAGCTGTGTGTTTGTTTCCATTTGGGGGGACTGAAGGTTTTCCTTCACTGAAATGCATTCAGTTGATGATTGTGAAGGATGCCACAGTAGTTCTTCCTACCGAGCTAGTCTTTGTTCTTCAGATATGTTTTGTGATTTTTGCTTAAAGATCATGTGCTTTTATTCCTAAGAATCATGGTTTTTTTCCTGCCAGCTGCATAACCCTTAATGAAGGTTTGCTGAGTAGAATATATTTCTTTTTGTATTTAACCACTGTGTTAGATTGTGCTGTGTAACAAATATCCCCAAACTTACCAGGCAAAGACAACGGACACTGACTATTACCTCAGTGGGTTGAGACAGGGATGTAGAGGTGGCCTGGCTGAGGGGCTCTGACTCTGACTTTGTGGAGATGCTGCCACTTCCTAACAGGCTCAAGTGGCTGATCCCAGGAGGTTTCCGTCCTCCCTATGTGGTCCTCCCTTTAGGTGTGCTCATGGAATCTAAGATCTCACCTCCTCAGAAGTAGTGGTTTAAAAGAGGAGACAGCACCCCTGAAACCACCACCATGCTTTGTAACTGGGTCTAGAAATACCGTCCTTCTGCCTACCAGAGGAGATTTCACAGCAGCATTAATGCAAATTCACAAGTTAAAAAAAATGTTCTTTGATTCCTATGAGACAATAAAGTGATTTTACACACTTGTTGACATAACTGTCCTTTCCCTGCTTTCCGAGTACAGTGAGGTGGAGTGACCATTGTCTGATGCTGACTGACGGCCCACTCTCAACGCTGTTCTCTTTTTTATGTCTTTTTCTGGGCTCTACTTACATTCTTCAGATACATTGAAGTATAAATTCTGCTAAATTCATTTGCAGCACATAGGTGTATGGGTTCTCATGGACACACAGACGTCTGCAGCATTTTCATCTTCCCAGAAGGACCTCGCATTTGTCCCGATGAGGTTTCTGTCTCTGTAGCTTGGCAAAGCACCATGTAAAATGAACTCTTATAGGACCTGGTGTCTCTGTCCGTCTCCCGAGCCTGCCCTGTGTTGGCGTGTGCATCTGCAGTGGTTGTGCTGTGCTGGGATTGCTGGGAATGGGTCAGCATTGGTTCATCCACTCACAGATTGATGGGAAATTGTAGGATTCTCCAGTTGAATGCGTGGTAGATATTTACAGATGGAATTGTGGACGGACATAATGTTCCCTGTTGAGGGTAGATGCCGAGGAATAGATTTGCTGGACTGTTCAGGAAATGTGTGTGTGAATCAATGAGAAGCTGCCGACCTTCCTGAGGCCCGTGTTGTTTGCCTCATACAAGGGCTCGGCTGCCTTGCACACAGAGCATTTGGTTTCTGTTTTCCTTGTCTTGTTGGCAATTCTAAAAGGTCTGCAGTGGACTCCTTCTGGTTTACCTCACATTTCCCTAATCTTGCTCAGCATCGGGTCTTTTACTACCATTTACATCACTTCCTTGCTGAAATATTGTTTTAAGTTTGTCAAGTATTTTTAGGAATTTCTTACTGCTTTATTTTCCATGTGTGTGTGTGTATGTGTGTAAGTCAGGACAACCTGAGATATTGGTTCTCTCCTTTCCATCATGGAGATTTTAGGGGCTGAATTCAGGCCATCCATCATACTGGCAGCAAGCACCTTAACCAACCCACTGAGCCATCCTGTTGGCCCTAAAGTGGGTTTCTTGCTGGCAGCATGCATTTGGTTCTTTTTCTCTGCTTTCAGTGAGTTCTCCCAGCTGTTGTTCATCTGAAATGTGTTTCTGTCAGCATAGTTTGTGAAGGGCATGTTCCCTGACAACTAAGCACACCTGGGCAATTGTCTATGAGAAGGCATTCCTTTCCTTGAGGCTTGCAGTTCTTAGTGGTGGATCAATGCTCCCTACCTAGTGTGCCGTGTGTTTTCAGTGTTAAGGAATTTCCCCCACATGCCCAGTTTTCAGCTCTGTGGTTCTTCTGTGTTCTGATATGGATTTCTTTTTCCTCATGATTGTATTCCTTCCAGTTGTTTGAGCCTCTTAGAATGTGGGTATGCTGTTTGTGTGGTGTGTAGATTATGTGGTTTGTGTGGTGTGTAGATTATGTGGTTTGTGTGGTGTGTAGATTATGTGGTTTGTGTGGTGTGTAGATTATGCGGTTTGTGTGGTGTGTAGATTATGTGGTTTGTGTGGTGTGTAGGTGTAGGTTATGCAGTTTGTGTGGTGTGTTGATTATGTGGTTTGTGTGGTGTGTTGATTATGTGATTTGTGTGGTGTGTAAATTATGTGGTTTGTGTGGTGTGGAGATTATGTGGTTTGTGTGGTGTATAGATTGTGTGGTTTGTGTGGTGTGTAGATTACGTGGTTTGTGTGGTGTGTAGATTATGCGGTTTTTGTGGTGTGTTGATTATGTGGTTTGTGTGATGTGTAGATTACGTGGTTTGTGTGGTGTGTAGATTATGCAGTTTGTGTGGTGTGTAGATTACGTGGTTTGTGTGGTGTATAGATTACGTGGTTTGTGTGGTCTGTAGATTATGCGGTTTGTATGGTGTGTAGATTATGCGTTTTGTGTCGTGTGTAGATTGACCACCACTTCCTTGAGCATCCTGGCAGCTCCAGGTGTGTATGCTCCATTGTTTGCTGTCTCACAGGCTTTCCTTTATATTCATGTCGCTCACATTTCCCCGTCAGCTCCTGCTGACTCAGAGAGACACTGACTGCAGAGGGGATGCCTTTCCTCTCAGGCTAACTGCAAACTTTCCATAGGGCAGGAGCCCCAGGCTGCTTTAAAGGGGTCATGTGATCTGTTCAAGTGTTTGCGCTGTCAGAAACAGCCTCCATGTTTGTGTACCCAGAAAGAGGAAGTTACCCTCGGACTCAAGAAGCTGTAGGTAGCAGCTTCATGTTTGGTGAAATATGCTAGGTTTCTGTTAGGAGGTGCCCAAAGAAAATCTGTGTGTTGTTTGGAGATGGCTCTGATCGGGTCCCCCAAGTCTGTGCATTAGCAGAGCTAAGTTTAGTCTGGTTTTCAGCTTGAGGTTCTTGTGGGAAGCCATGAATGAGCTGATGGCGGCAAGATGAACCCTTTACCACAGAAGGTGACGCCTCAGTCCTCTTCCCCCTCACTATGCTCATACTCCCCGGGGCTTTCTCCCTGAGTCTGGGTTACTTGTTAAATTAAGATAAAAGAGTTAAAAATGGAGAGTTTATATTTTCAAAAATTGAGTAGGAAGAATCTTTTTTAAGTATGACATAAATTAGAAAAATCATAAAACATAAATTAATTCACCTGCTTGAAAACGTGGTTTGTATGTGGCGAAAGGAATTGCTGCGGACTCGGGTTAAATGTCAGGCATCGTGTGAGAGACCTGCAGCTCAGCACCGGGAAAATATGAGCAGGAGTGTCAGGGTGTCACAGTCAGTCTTGGCTACCTAGACAGTTCCAGGCTAGCATGGGTTACGTGAGCTCCTATCTAAATAATAACCATATATTTAAAACCACATGAGGCTGGTGAGATGACTCATCAGGTGAGGGCGCCTGCCACTGGACCTGGTTGGTGAGCACAGCCCTCATGGAAGAGAGAATCGACTTGTACAAGTTGCCCTCTAACTTCCTGCGACATAAGTATACATGCACATACACATGCATGTGTGTCTGCACAGAGAGAGAGCGAGAGAGAGAGAGAGAGAGAGAGATGATAAATAAATGTGAATTTGTTAAAGCCCAAGAAAGTAGTAAGTGGAAAGATTATATTTTACAGTGTATGCAGTAAAGACCGAATGTCTTCACGTAGAAGAAATAAGCTCCCTCCAGCAACACGAACGGCAGGATCCGCACCGGTGCCGCCCATTTGTCTCGCTGGGCTGGAGATGCCGAACTCCCGGCTGTTGGGCAGGCTCCTCTGTCTGCGTCCTCTCAGCAGCTGCTGTATCACACAAGTCATTGCCGGGCTTGCCCACTGAGCCCTGCTCCAGCCTTCTAAGCTCTTTCTAGACCAAATCTCCAATCTTTTCCAAGCTATTCCCACATCCATACAACTCCATAGGCCTTGGAACCACACGGTCAGGGCTAGTCAGGGAAATGACCGCATTCCTTGGTGCCAGTTTCCGTGTTAGATTTCCTTCACTGTGACAGAAAATATCTAGACATCAGCGTAGAAGAAGAAAGACCTGGGCTCAGTTTCAGCCATTTCAGCCATAGGTGCCTGGGTCCATTTTTGGTGAGTATGTCATCAGGACACCCTGGGAAGGGGCAACTTTAGAAGCAAAGCTGCCCACATTGGGGCAACCAGGAAACAGGGGAATCACTTTATAACAAAATCCCCTGCTTGAAATCCATGAAGCCATGAATCTGAAAATACACTAATTCATTCATGAAATCAAAACCCTCATGATCCATTATCTCCTCGAGACCTCACTGTGAACTTGACTGCACTGGGGACCAAGCCTTCCACACAGAAAATCCAAACCATATCAGCAGGCATTGGTCCATCATTTCTGCTGAGCTTGAGTGATAAAAGATTCAGCATGTCATGTATGTGTGTACACACGTGTGTGGAACACAAGAGCACATATGACAAGCAAATGGGGTGTGTGTGTGTGTGTGTGTGTGTGTGTGTGTGTGTTTGTTGGGGGTATATGGTGCCCTCCGTAGGCACCCAAGCCAAATGATAGGACATGCTGCTGCAGAACCTTCTGGATATTTTGACATGTGTATTCAAGAACTTCCTAAAACAGTAGATACATTGTAATAATGCATTTGCAGGGATGAAAATGAACCTGCCCAAATAGAAGACTCAAGTGCTGTTAAACCTGATGGCTGGCTTGATGATGAACCAAAATTTATCGCCAACCCTAATGCTCAGAAACCTGATGATTGGTAAGCACTCTTCAATTCCAGGAAAGGTGCCAAGTGTATCCTGATCATTTACTAATTTTTATTGCTTCCTGCAAAGGCTGGAGGCTAATATATTACCTCTGCTCTGATAACTTCAGGAATGACGACATGGATGGCGAATGGGAGGCACCGCACATGCCTAACCCAGCCTGTCAGATTGGCTGTGGCGAGTGGAAGCCGCCCATGATAGATAACCCCAAATACAGAGGAGTCTGGAGACCGCCCATGATCAGTAATCCTGACTACCAGGTGATAACCACTGTCCCAGTTCCGTAATAAGGTTGAGTTGTTTTGTCTGATCTTCGCCAATGTTCTGCTAGCTTTTAGAAGTTCAATTTGTAACTTGAATTTGTAAGTTGAAGTCAAAGCAAGTCAACTAATTTAAGTCAGGTAAAGAGGAGGGATCTAGGGGGGAGTCGCGGATCTCCCTGGAGGGGGAAATATAATAGATTTTACAGGTTAACTGGTGTAGGTAGGTATGGGAATTGGGGGATCAGATGGAGGGTGTTGTAGAAGACAGAGTGCAAGGAGAGATCTCTGGAATTGGGGGACTTTGGGGGGTGGAAATCTAGTACAGTGGGAACTTTCTGGAATATATGAAGGTGATACTAATAAGGACTCCTGGTAATGGGACACGGAATCTTAAATGGCCATCTCCGGTCACTGTCTCCCAGTGACTGTCTCCCAGTGACTGGACCGAGCTGCATTCAACTGAGTTGTTTGCCAAGGGGAACCATGGAAATCCCCAAACAACCCCAACTGTTGCTAAGACAAAGGGTCAGTCTCCAAAAACTGATAAGGGGGGGGTGAACATTGCTGAAGACAACACCCACACAACTCATTTAACATGGAGAAGTCAAGCTAGCACCTACATGGAGCTTTCTAGTCTCTTTGGTGTGGATACACAGAACCTTCACCCCTACGTTCTAATATATCTGGTGCGGGTAAACAGAATCTTCACCCTTATGTTCTAGTCTCTCTGGTGCGGGTACACAGAACCTTCACCCCTACATTCTAGTCTCTTTGGTGCAGGTACACAGAACCTTCACCCCTACACTCTAGTCTCTTTGGTGCTTGTGGGGAGATGTACTCTACAGGCTCCTGAAAGAGAAACAAAGACACCAATCCAGCCACAATACCTTTGACCTACAATCTGTCTTCCTACAAAATATGCTAGGGCAATGGTGGCACAGAACTTGGGGTAGTAGCCAATCAATGTCTGATTTGACTTAAGGCCCACTCCACGAGAAGGAACTCCTACCTGACACGGTTTTGGTGACCAAGAACCAGAGCATAGACAGTCCAAAGACCTAGGGTCAAATCAAAAATATTGGTCTTAAAAAATAAAGTATCAGTTTCAAAAAGAGAAAACATAGCAACCAGGTGGCGGTGGTTCATGCCTTTAATCCCAGCACTTAAAAGGCAGAGAAAGGTGGATCTCTGAGACAGTTGGAGGCCAGCGTTATCTGTTACATAATGAGTTCCAGGACAGCCCTGTCTCATTTTATATATTTCTTCTTCCCAGTAGACAGTTGATGCTTCCTGTGGAATAAAGTTCTGTTTCAGAAGTAAATAAATGAAATCTCATGGAGAGTACTAACGTTGTCCATTTCAAAAGTCAGTGTCTGTGCCTTATGAACTCCTATTTCTTTCACACTCAAAATTCAGAATTTTTAGACTGTCAGACATTTTGGAGTGATCTGGCTTTGCTCCCACTATTTATTTTACCCTCAAGTGCGTCTTTGTCATGACTCTTTGATGTCTCTAACACTGTGCAAATGTGGTTATAGATTCTAATTCTTCACTGTAGTCTTTCTTCATATAGCATTGTGTGTGTGATTGCCCTTCATCTTACCATTTTTGAGACAGTGTCCGTCACTGAACCTGGTCAAGTGGACCAGCTGCCAGCAAACCCCAGGGTCACTGTGTCCCCGTCTTCCCAGGTCTGGGATTATAGGCCTGTCCTGCAGGACCAGTTTTCTAAATGGTGCTGGAGCCTTAACTCGGGCCCTCATTCCTCACACAGGGGCAGGCTCTTTGCCAACTGAGCCATCTCCCTGTCCCTTACAAAGGGGCTCTTGTCTTCCTTTTCATTTGTTTAGTGACATAACTTTATTTAAAATGTTTTCATTTGTTGTTTCTTCCAGGGGATCTGGAGTCCTCAGAAAATCCCTAACCCAGATTATTTTGAGGATGATCACCCATTCCTTCTGACTTCTTTCAGTGCTCTGGGCTTAGAGCTTTGGTCCATGACTCCCAACATCTACTTCGATAATTTTATCATCTGCTCAGAAAAGGAGGTAGCAGATCGCTGGGCTGCCGATGGCTGGGCACTGAAGATAATGGTGGCAAATGCTAATGAGGTACAATAGTGACTGTGGGCGGGAGCCCTGGGGCCCCAGCCCTGCCTGTGGGGTGTGCACAGGTGCAGCAATCACTAAACACCAAGGAGGCGTGCTGGAATAGAGTTTACAGACAATTTAGCTTTGCTGCGTAGACTCTACGGTGAACTCATCATGCAGATGCCTGTGTCCTCCTCCTTCCCTATTTAAATCACGGTAGCTTTAATGAAATTCAAAGCCTACTTGCGGTTTACAGCAGTAAGAAATACTTCTTTGTGTTTTCATGTTGGCAGCGCAAGCCTAAGTGTTACCAGGAATCAATATGCATTTCAAATATTTTCCCTTAGAGAAGTACCGAGAACTCTAAATTCAGCATCATTGTTTGGATCGACTGCAGTTCCATGTGCTCCGGCCCAGCTGGCCTGGGAGCCCCCAGAAACTGTCTCCACTTCCCCCTTTACCATGAGGGCTCTGGGATTATAGATGCAGGCCACTGCAGCCAGCATTTCTGTGGGTGCCAGCTTTCCTTCATCTGCCAAACCGTTCCCCTCCCCCATTCGGTGTCTTTAGCTTCTTGATTGTTACCTTAGATTTTATGTTTCTAAAATAAAGTTCATGCACAAGGGTCACTTGTGAAATTGTTCATATAAAAAGAAAAAGACAATAATACCTGAGTGATTTTATTAGTAAGCTCTTTAAATAACAGAACATATTGTCAAAAATGTTTTTTTCTTCTTTTTATTTTTGGTGTGTGTGTAGTATCTGTGTATATGTGTAGTGTGTGTAGTGTATATGTGTGTATGTGTGTACTGAGTGTGTATGTTTATATAGTGTGTGCATGTCGTGTGTGTGTAGTGTGTATGTGTATAGTGTGTATTGTATAATGAGTGTGTGTGTGCTGTGTGTGGTATGCTTGTAGTGCAGTGTGTACATGTGGTGTGGTATGTATGTAGTGTGTGTAGTGTAGTGTGTGTGTATGTGTATAGTGTGTGTATAATGAGTGTGTATGTGTGTACTGTGTGTAGTATGCATGTAGTATAGTGTGTATAAGTGTTGTGTAGTGTGTGTGTGATGTAGTATTGTAGTGTGGTGTGTATGTATAGTGTGTGATACAAAATGAGCATAATTAATTCCCCCTGGACATTGGTGAACGCCCTGTGCTGATTTCCCCCACAGCCCGGTGTGCTCAGACAGCTAACGACAGCGGCAGAGGAGCGCCCGTGGCTCTGGCTCATGTACCTTGTGATGGCTGGGCTGCCCATAGCCGTAGTTGTTTCATTTTGTTGGCCAAGAAAAGTAAAGGTAAAGAGAACAGACTTTCTTCAGCTTTGTTTTCCAGACTTGCTTGTGTTCTAGAGCTGTAGGAATCAAGCAGCATAACAAATTTGGTGTAGATGCAATGAATTCCGTTTCCTGTGAGGTTAACCGAGCGTGAGTTATGTACCTTGTCAGCGCAAAAAGAAACGGTAGATAAATGTTATGATGAGCACACGCTGTCTGTTTCAGTAACTGGAGACTGTGCCTTAAAAAATAAAATAAAAAGCGTGCTTTTGCTATTAGTAAGAACAGCTTTTGTTAAACTGCCACAGAGAACATATGGAGACATGGGTCCTAAGACAGCCAACATATGTAAGTCGCAGACCAAGGCGGCTCTGGAACAAGGGACAGAGGAGGAGAAGGCCCCTGAGAAGCCCGAAGATTCGGAAGAGGAAAAGAAGCCAAGTGACAGTGATGTCATCATCGCAGAAAAGGGTGAGGCTGGGCTGGTGACTGAGACTGTGACAGCCAACATCCTTTCCGCATTGACAGAGAACGTCCAGCCCTGCAGTGCTCTGCCTTGTTCCGTGTCTAATGTACACATTTGAACTGCCAAGGACACGTGACTCTGGTAGTGTGGATTAGCAGTGCTCTGAGGGACAGCCCTGTGAGCAGCCACCCCATAGCCTCTGTGTTTATGAGACTCTTTGACTCTTTACACACAGTGGGTGACCAGACATACCCTCACCCCAGTGGGGCACCTACAGCATCCCAACGTCTTCTCAAGTCTAGCGTGGTGAGCCATTGTGTTCCTGGGGTTCCTTCCACATGTGTGTGCATGTGTTTGTCATGGAGCACACATGGAAGTCAGAGGACAACTTGCAAGACTAAGTTCTTTAAAAAGAACAAGTATGTGTGGGGGGGAAGAGAGAGAGAGAGAGTGTGTGTGTGTGTGAGAGAGAGAGAGAGAGAGAGAGAGAGGGAGAGAGAGAGAGAGAGAGAGAGGTGTGAGAGAGAAGGGGGTGTAAATTCTTTAGGCTGTCAGTTCTCAGAGTCTTTGTAACTTATAGTGCTTTATATTGATGTTTCTGTCTCCTTTAGAGGGTATTCACAAACAGCAAATTTGTGAATACTTCAATATCAGAAGGGCCTTATTTTAGAAGGCAGTTTTACATTTCCCGCTGCCCCACGCTATGCATGTGGAATATGTGGAAGGCAGAGGTGACATGTGCTGCCTTCCATTTCCTCAACCTAATTTTTGGTAAATTAAGTTTTTACTTTATATAGCTCTCAAGACATGCTCCTGTTTGCATGCGGTGGTGTAGTAAGGAGGTCACTTGTTGGTTCCCAGCTGTCCAGACTCCTGAAACAACCACACAGAAACTGTATTAATTAATCACTGCTTAGCCTATTAGCTCTAGCTTCTCATTGGCTAGATCTTTTTTAAAAATATTTATTTATTATGTATACAGTATTCTGTCTGCTTGTATGCCTACAGGCCAGAAGAGGGCACCATACATCATTACAGATGGTTGTGAGCCACCATGTGGTTGCTGGGAATTGAACTCAGGACCTTTGGAAGAGCAGGCAGTGCTCTTAACCACTAAGCCATCTCTCCAGCCCTTGGCTAGCTCTTATATATTAATTTAGCCCATTTCCATTATTTTATATTTTACTATGAGGCAAGGTTTCAACATAGCTGTCTCTGGCGGCTCCATGGCTTCTCCCTGACTCCACCTTCTTCCTCCCAGCATTCAGTTTAGTTTTCCCTGCCTTGCAAAGTTCTGCCTTGCTGTAGGTCCAAAGTAGTTTCTTTATTAATCAATGGTAATCACAGCATACAGAAGGAAATCCCACATTATGGTGGTATCCTCCTCCTCTTTCTCCTGCTCTCCCCTCTTTTTCTCCTCCCCCCTTCTCCCCACTTCCTCCCTGTCCTTTCATAATGACAGTGACAAAGTTGGTGATTTGGCTAAAGAGAATCCATAGGAGAACCAATGAATAACAAAGGTGAATGGCGATACCTGCAGGCTGCAAGATAACTTAGACAGCAGGCCAGAGAAGACAGGAGTCACCCTGACTTAGACAGCAGGCTGGAGAAGACAGATCACCCTGAGGGAAGTTGTCACTGATCATGGCTACCAGAAAGCTGAGAATTATTTGCACATTGTCTGTTACATAATAATAATTTTACAAACTTGCTTCACTTCAAAGATGATTTTATAAGTGTAAAATAGTAAGTATTTACAATTAGCTAGGTTTTTTTTTTAGTTTTGAAGGGTAGAAGTTGCTTTTTAATTGTGGAATTTCAATTAATCTCCCTTAATTGTCCTTAATACTTTTCAGTAACAAAATCTCCACCTCTAGAAGAGGAAGTTGGTGAACTGAAAGAGAAGAGTGAAGAAGAAGGGGAAACCATAGAGGGGCAGGAAGAGATGAACAAGTTCAATAAGTCTGGGTCTGAGGACGAGGTAAGCCTCCCTGCAGGAACAGCCTCCACCATGCTTCCCCCAGTTTCCTTGAGTAAGCGCCTCCATGACATTTTAAAACAAAGTGATAGAGAAGGCAGAAAACTGGAGTCACATGTGTTGACATCTGATAGAGGAGCACTTCACCTGAGCCACACAATGTAAAGGTAGAGTGTGTTGGCAAAAATAATAATAACTCTGTTGGTAAAGAGGTACAGCGATCTCTGAGTGTCTAAAATGCAGGCCTCCTGCTGAAAAGACGGCTGTCTTAATTCACCCTCACCAACAATGGGATGAGCAGTTGAATCCCACAGTGGGAATCGCACAGCCATTCCCTATGAGATTGAGACCATATTCAGAGTCATAAAGAAAATGCTGCAGGGGCGGGCAGGAGTGGTCTTTGCCACATGCTTATTTAATAAACAGGGTTATTTTGAAAATGTCATCAGGCCACTTGTAAATAAATAAGACAGCGAGGCAACTTCCTGAAGGACAGGAGCCCGTGTAACACAGCGTTGGGCAGTTGGAGCACACACTTTATTTAAAGAACGAGAAATACGCTCGCGCCTGCCTACCGACAGTTAAGGTCACAGGGAAGGAAACATTTTGTTTTGCAGATGAAAGACGCTGATGAGAGCACAGGATCTGGAGATGCCCCGGTAAAGTCACTGCGCAAGAGGAGGATACAGAAGGACTGACGTGTGTCAAGATTGCAAATCCCCGAGAGAGAGAAAGCTGGCGTTCCAAAGTTAGTGTGCCCAGAAGGACAGCAGATCCATCTGCACAAACTCTTTCCAAATATCGAATAATGTTAGTCTTTCAGATACTTCTTTCTTTCTTTGGGGGGGAAGCAACTTTGAAATTAACTGGTCTTTGGATTTAGAATAAAAGAAAATGGCACATTACATGAGCGCCAAGAGATTGCTTACTATCCTTAGAAGTGACGGTTTTAATAGTTGGAAGATAGTTTTGGTCTTGTAGAGCAAGATAGCATGTAGTCATCAAACCTGCTATTTAGAAACGTCGCCTGTCAGACTTTCCACTTAAATGGCTATGCAAGAAGATACAAGTTAGTTTTATAATACAATTTGAGTACGTTCTATTGTACAGACTGAAAGTGACCCAGCTCCCGTATGATCATTTGATGTCGTCAGCACTTTAAAGTGTTGTATGTGACCACACTTACATTGCCTGAGTCACACTATCATTAGGTCACTTCACGTAGAGGTTCCTTGGAGGGGTTCTGTGTTGACAGGCATGTCACTTGAGTTCAAGTGTCACTCATGCAATCACTGGGTACTATGCAAGCATATTCTACATGGAATATTATACTGTACGGACATTTTTCAAGCTTCTGTAGCCACTTCATGCCCAAATAGCTTACCTCGTTCATGAAACTGTGTGTACATACCACTCTTGAAATAAAATTTAATTTTTTCTTGGTTTATCAAGAAGGGGTTTCTCTAAGTAGCCTGGCTGTAGCTCTGACCACTCTGGAAGTCTGTAGATCAGGCTGGCCTCAAACTCACAGAGATCTACCTGCTCCCGCCTCCCGCGTGCTGGGACTCAAGGCGTGTGCCACCTACCACTGCTCAGTATTTTCTCGTTTAAATCATACACTCCATAGGGATCATACAGGGAAGGCTTCGTTTATTTTTTCAGGATTCTAATGATTGAACCCAATTCTTCAGCTCTGTCTTTTTGCCATAAGTTTCTGCTAATGAGGTCACATGTATTCTGAGTCTGTTTCATCCTCACAGCTGTGTCTGAGAGGGACAGATGCCCACTGCTGGGTCCTAATGCCTCCCTCAGGGGAGGAGGCGAGAAGGCGCAGAGTCAATTGTTGACCGAGGTTTCTGTCCTGCCTGGTTCCCGTAGTCATTAAGTCACAAAGAAATCACACAGAGGTATCTACATTAATTATAAATGGATTGGCCTAGTATCTCAGGCTTCTTATTAGCTCTTATAACTTCTTTTAGCCCATAATTCTTGTCTGTGTTAGCCACGTGGCTTGGTACCTTTTTCGGTGAGGCAGTCACATCTTGCTTGCTCTGTGCCTGGCTTCCACTCTGTCTGGGTGACGACTGCAGACTGAAACTTCCCTCTTCCCAGAATTCTCGTTGCCCCGCCTCTACTTCCTGCCTGGCCAATCAGCATTTATTTAAAATTCTAGTGACAGGGTACCGACCATTGCCCCACAGCAGTCAATAGCATAGACATCGGGAGTCAGGGAAAAGGCAAACAGCTCATTAATTCAGCAATGGGAAGAACCTTATATACCTTCTTGCCAGTACCCAGGCTGTGGCCAGATCCAGTGGCATTGCATGGTCGCCCCTCACTGGCTAGCCGATCAGGACCTCTGTCAGTGCCTGTTGCTAGTCCCTCAGGCAGACTCCAGGGTGCTCATCTCTCCTCCCACAGGTTCCCAAACGAGCTACCTTTTCAGCGTCATTTCACTCAAAATGTTTTACTGGAGGATGTTTTACTCTTCAGCAGTGTGTGTCAACCCTTCGAAGGGCCATTCGAGTCTCCAGGAGGACTAGAGGACGACCATAACACTGAGTCCCTGTGGAAGGAACTTTTACAGTTGGGGTTTGCAGATATGCACACCCCCACCTATCAACAGCTTCCTTGCATTGGTGTGCTCAGAACTCACACACTGGAAATACACCCTAGCTTCACCTCCTGAAAGGAGACTGAGAGGAGCCAATGAGATTGTTCACATCTTCCAGGGTGGTGGGAAAGCAGAGTGACTGTTTTCCCCATGGCCCTGTTCCAGTGTGCATAAACTCTTGGTGGATTTCGAACACGTGTGCAGGCACCCATGGAGACCCACAGAGGGCGCAGATGTCCTGGAACTGGAGGCACAGGAGGTTGTGAGCTCCCATCCTGCTCCTCTGCCCTCGTGCTCTTGATGACTGAGCCAGCTCTCCAGCCTCTGCTGCTTTTCCCAGAAAACACTCTCCAGCGAGGCTCCCTTCCACTGGTCAGAGTGACATTGGTGTCCTCTCCATTTGGAGGGACACAACGGAAGCGCTAGCGTAAGGTTAAAGGAGATGGCTCAGTGGGCAAAAGTGCTTGCCATGTGGGCATGGCAAGTCAGAGAGATCTGAATTCCAAAGTTGTCCTTATGTGTGTGCATGCGTGCCTGTAAAATGATTTTGTATGTAGCAGAAACTGTCCAGAACAGACAACACGTTAACTCACACTCCGGACACACACCTGCTGAGGTCTCTTAGATTTTGGGCTATATGTTTTTACCTTTAGCAAGATGAGAGATGAGATAGCAAGTGACTTAGACAACTTTTTTGGTTTTGTTTTGATTTGTTTTTTTTTTTTTTTTTTTGAGACAGGGTTTCTCTGTGTAGCTTTGGTGCCTGTCCTGGAACTAGCTCATGTAGACCAGGCTGGCCTCGAACTCACAGAGATCCACCTACCTCTGCCTCTTGAGTGCTGGCATTAAAGGCGTGCACCATCATCACCCAGCTTAGACAATTTCTTAAATCTGTTGTATAATAAAACATATTTCAAACAGTCTCAAGCATTTATTCTCAAAGCATATAGGTCCCATGCTTTTCCGATAGTGTGAGAAGGTTAGGAAATAAAGCTGTCTTCATTTTTTTTTCTACTTTGGTGATAAGACATGACCAAGGAAACTTATAAAAGAGTTTAATTTGAGTTTAGGGTTTCAGAAGATCACAGCAAAGGCGTGGTAACAGGAACAGCTGAGAACTTAACCTTGATCTGCAAGTAAGAGGCAGAGAACACACTGAGAATGTCACGTGTCTCAGTTAAGATTTCTTCTTATTGCTGCAACGAAACACCATGACCAAAAAGCAAGCTGGGGAGGAAAGGGTTTATTTGGCTTACTCTTTAGTGTTGCTCTCCATCATTGAAGGAAGACAGGACAGGAACTCAGACAGGGCAGGATCCTGGATGCAGGAGCTGATGCAGAGGCCATGGAGGGAGGCTGCTTGCTGGCTTGCTTTCCCTGGCTTGCTCGGCCCACCTTCTTACAGAACCCAGGACCAGCAGCCCAGGGATGGCACCACCCACTGTGTGCTGGGTCCTCCCTCATAGATCACTAACTGAGAAAATGCCCTACAACTGGATCTTATGGAGGCACCTCCTCAACTGGCTCTAACCTGTGTCCAGTTGACACCCAAAACCAGCCAGTGCAGCATAAATCTTTTGACACCTCAAAGCCTATTTCCCAGTGATACAACCTCTTCGGATAAGGTCACACCTCCTAATCCCTCCCAAACAGTTCTACCATCTGAGGACCAAGTATTCAATATGTATGCTTGCTTATGGGGGCCATTCTCATTTAAGAAATGAAGTGAAACATGCCCCCGGCAATGCTGAAGCATGCAAGGCAGCCGTTTATATTGGGTTTCGTGGTCTGAATTGATGAGGTTCCACCAAGATACGAACTCAGATCACTGGATTCAGAGTCCAGAGCATTAACCATTACACTAAACCACCACAGAAACCATCTCCTCTTGATAGTTTAAATGAGACATGCTGATGGGAGAAAACATAAACTTGGAAACATACTTAAAGACTTTTTAATTATATGTATTCTGCACGGGGTAACATTTACCTGGGAACTCCCTGGAGCGGTGGCTACAAGAGGTTGCAAGATTCCATGCAAGTGCTAGGAACTTTGCAAAAATGGTGTGAGCTTAACACTTAGCCTTCTCTCCAGCCACTGTGGGAACATTTAGTCTGTCTCTTAAGGCCCGGGTGCACAGAATAGTAACGGCAGTCTAGGAGACACTAGGAGAACCAGAAAACCATCTTTATGTGTCTGCCACAATCTCTTATGTTTTGTAGAAAAGTAGGGTTACTTTCAAATTTTAATAACAGACATTTGATAAATCTTTGGAAAATCTTAAAACAGGATAACCACTTACAGTGGTTACAGTGTATGCGTTCAGCTTCTAGTATCCCTCAAAACTCCTAGGTCATAAAACAGACTCTGGGCTGGGTGTGGTGGCACTTGGGAGGCAGAGACAAGTGGGTCTCTGTGCATTTGAGGCCACCTTGGTCTACACAGTGAGTTCCAGGACAGCCAGGGCTACCTAGAGAGACGCTGTCATAGAGTCAACCTAAGTCTTTGTTACAGTAAATTTGTCCTTTAAATTCCACTAATCTCTGGGTTCGGTGGAACCAGTTGTGGTTGTTTTCTGGATGAAGTAGCTAAGAGGCAAGACTGCCATTCCTCGTCTGTCTGTCTGCAGCTGTCATGTAACAGGCTCTTTACAAGCGATCTTTAGAATGCAAACAACCTCTGAGACTTGGTGGTGGTTACATTGGTTACGGCAGCACTGAGAAGTTCCTGGTGACAGTCAGGAGTGGGTGTCAGCACTATCACACAAAGTGAAGCTTACAGCTAAAGAATTTAGATCCATTTCTCTTCGCGTCTGACCATAAAATTAATCTTAAGTTCTAAAATTCTACTCTCTTTTTTAATGTTTTTTTTTTGGGGGGGGGGGCAGGGTTTCTCTGTGTAACAGCTCTGGTTGCCCTGGAATTCATTCTGTAGGCCAGGTTGGCCTCAAACTCAGAGATCCACTTGCCTCTGCCTCCCCAAGCACTGGGACTAAAGTCATGCACTACCACTGCCTGGTTCTACTCTCGTTTTATCCTATGGAAGGACCATGTATTAAAGGGGAAAGGACTGGCAGGAATAAGGGTGAGGTATCCGACCTGAGAGGAGATGAGCGCTCAGCTGATGTCGGCCACTTCTACATCACAGGAGTTTGCTTCTTTAAGAACAGTTCCAAAAGGAAAGGCCGATCTCTGCACAAGCAACTTCACCACCTGAACACCATCTCACTTGGCAGCCCAACCTGAGCTCCCAGCTAGCTGGGCTTCTCTCTGCGCTTCTATTTTATATACTCATTCTTTCTCCCAGTTATCACTGATTCTCAGGGATTCTGATGCAGACACAAACTGCTCCAAATTGTGCCCCTATACAAGTCGTAACAGTTTATAAAATCTGAAAAATGCCAAATTCCAAAGCATCTGGTTCTGTAAGTTCCTAACTAAGGGACTGTGGTCTGCGATACCCTGTAAATAGTGGGCAGCAGAAATGTGAACCAAATGTTGGGTGAGATGGTAGTGTCAGGATTGAAGGAAGCACCTCAGTTGGGACCTGGTGGGAGGTGCCACCTTCTGTCTGGCTGCTATAACAAAACAGATTCTGCACAACAATAAAACACATTCCTCACAGACCTGGAGGCCAAGGTAAGGCAAGGTGCCTACGCCTCCCAAATGTTGAGTGTGGTCTTTCCTGTGCCCTTAAGTGGCAAGTGGGTTCTCTGCGGTCTTATTTTTTTTTAACTTTTTTTTAAATTTTATTTATTT